AAGTTTTACTGTGTGTGTGTGTATATATATATATATATATATGTAGAACACTTGTGGGTTTAATTTCTTCTCTAGACATGATATGCTTCTAGATTCTGAGAGGGTATTTACCTGATGTGCAGCTGATTCCCCCACAGGTGAAACCCCAGCAACAAGCCGTTATGTCTGCTGGGCCATCACCTATTGGACATCCTGGGCCCCTGTCGCCACCTCCCTTCAATTCATCTACTGCACAGCCTGGTCATATTAACTACCAGGTAAGTGTGGAATAGCTTGTAGTGGACTTTGGTTTATCTACAGTTCTGACATGAAGGTAGACAGGGGGTGCTGAGAAGAGGGATGAAGTGGCATGAAGTGGATAAATCTGCACAGTGAGAAACTGCCCCTGTGTCTGTATGTGCCAGGCTTAGGATGTTGCACACTATAAAGCTAGAAAAATGTTTTGACTATAAATTGTTTAATTTTCATACATTCTGTAAAAAGTAAGTAAAAGTAAAGATATCTCTGTAACAGGCTGTGACGGCCCATAGGGTTGTGAAATGTTTAGGCTCCCACATTTTCTCTACAGTCGGCTCGCAGATATCGGTGAGGTCAGCCTTACGGGCCGGCTGCCCACCCTTTACCCCCCCCAAGATTATTCCTGGTACTCATTTCTGTTAGAGCCTGAGTCAACCCCAGGGCCATAGTGCAGTTGGAAGGATTAGGTCAATTGCAAAAATCCACCTCATCAGGATTCAATCCCGTGACCTTCTGTCTTGTAGCATAGTGCATATATTCTGTAACATGTTTATTTGAACAAATTGAACATAATCTACTTTGAGACTCCAAGAAAGCTTTGTACCACTGAACTCAAAGTATAATTATCGGAGAGCAGGCAGGTTACATACGTAACAGTAGATGAGTGTTGCAGTCATGTGTTTGGGAACTCTGTCACAGTAATTTACTTAGATTCTAAAGGGTTCTGAAGATGGTGTATAACACTCAGAATTACTGGCTTTTTGGACTTTGTCCATTGTCCAGTAGACACTATACATTTTCACAAATTCTCCATTTCTTTGCATTGGTGTTCATGGACTTGATTTGTTGGCTAGGTTTGTAAAATAAATTTCTACCTCCCTTTCTGTCCTAGTTCCACGAATGTGCATTCTTTATCATAATTTGTATTACATATTTTCCTGTTATCTCCCTTTGACATTGCCTGGTCTCAGGTATTTAAATAGCTGTAATGAATCCAGTGTTTGAAGTTAGCTCTTTCTGAGGGACACAACAGAATCGATGTGTTCCCCCCCCCCATCACCTGAGGTCGGAAACAGATGCAGTCTCCAATACGTTCTGTTTTGAAGTTTTTGGAATAGTGGACAATGGCCAAACTCCAAAATTCTGAACAATTTCCTTGTATCGGGTGCGTTAAAATCACGGAAGAGGAAGAATATTACAAGTCTTTGAGAACGCAATTTATTGCTATTATGAATTGGGTAAAGACAGCCAAGGGTTTGAACACACCACTGATATCCTATCGCCTCACATGAGGAAATGCGTTCGTGCTAGTGATTGGTTATGGCCACTGTGCACATAGATGTCATTTTTATATTATGATTACTAAGCAACCACTCCCATATCCTTTTCAGTTCATTGTTCACCATTATCCACTCAGACCATGCTATATAACCTGAGTTACTTGTGTCATTTATTATATTGTGACATGTAGACCCATTGCCAAATAACAGTTGTGTAAACAGGACAACAGACAATGGTTGTTGCCTGCGAACAGTTCTGTGGCCCTGTTGTTCCCCTGGCAACGAGAGAACACACATAAAGAGAGATTTTTTCTGTGTGGTTCATGGTGGGGCTATATAAAAAGTTGGTTGAGTCAGTTGTGAGAAGTGAGATGCTGGAAGCTGAGGCCATGCACAGTTCAGGAACCCAGAGGAAGGGGGAACATCTGCCATTGGAAGCCACTACCAAGCTACAGCTAGTGATGACCGAGAAGATTTCTTGTGTGCTGTAGTTACAGTGATCTTTGGAGTGTGTAACTCTGTGAGACTGTCGTAGTTATTTGTAGTTATGAGTGCAAGTGTCCAATAAGTCCAGATACCAATCCAGATCTCGTTTCTAGTGATATATTTTGCATATTTGTAATGAATCCTTATTGCTCTGAGAACTCATTACAGTTGTGTTTATTTGCAGCCAACAGCAGCCCAGTTCAGTGGCATTTCTGCCATTCCATCACCACCAACAGTATTATACAATTCATCACAGCAAATTCCAACCCAGGGTGGACTCTATGGTGCATTCCAGATAGATGGCACTCAGGTATATAACTGTCTTCTGCGAGCAAGCGCCCTGCACCCGTTTTTATACCAAACGTCCTTCTTAAGACTTGAGAAATGGAAATTTTGTCTGTATCAGTTCAAATTGTCAGTGGTAGTCTGAAATAAAATTTGTGCATTTATTATTGTGCTCTACTTTACACACTGAACAGTCCAGTGATAACATCCAGTATTGATGGAGTGGAAAGTATGGGTTTCAGGAAATTTCAAAATAGCGTTTTTAACAAAAATGACAGCTGACAATCAGAGGGACACATCGGCAGATACACCTGCCAAGAGAACTACAGCAACCAACAAGTGCAGTACAACCTCACACAGCAGCATTACAGGTTTATTGTAAAGAGACATGTGAACCAAACTGATAAAAGATAACACACTAGTGTTAGAGATATGCGTAGTACTTTATATATGCAATGCAAGTTTTTTTTCCTAAGGATTCAGGGTAGCACAAAACCCATATAATCCAGTAAGAAAGTAGATTATAAATAGCTAATTATCATAAGCACAGATATATATTTTGTAACATAATTACTCCATATAAGTCTGAATAATTTGTATCTTCTCCAGATTTTCGTAATTGTATTCTTGAGCTTGTAGAGGAAATGACTCACAGTTTTGAATAATGAAATTTGAATTCTCCAGCTAACATACCTTACCATTTAATGGGTTACAACTTGGGATTCTCTGGTGAATAAATTCAGTTTTAGATTTACCTTCTTCCCCCCCCCCTTTTTTAACAGAACTTGAGTACTGTCTTCTGGGATGTGACACCACGACTCGCTCGACTTTCCGCCTGCTTCCACACTGGTATCTTGCTTGGCTTATTTGACCTTAAAGATGTAAGAGACATGTTCCTGTGAAACATTGGTTGACTTTCAACGGACTACACAGTGTTGCGTCCCGGAAGAATAAACACCACTGTGAGAACCTCAAAATCTAATGGAACTCGGTTTGACCTCTCATTCGCAGGTTCTTGGGGGGCAAGCCAGATCTCAGTTTTCGCAATTCCCACCATATGGCCTGTCTCAAGGACTGGGACAGACATCTGCTTTCAGTCAGCAGTCAATGTACCTGCAGACTGCACCCCACCCTCCACCTAACGCTGCACCAGACATGTATCAGTCTACAATCTCTCAGTTTCGTATTCAGGTATGTGTTCTCTGTATTGATGTACTTTTCCCTATTAAACTTGAATGATCAAACTCCTCATGTATATTAGTAATTTTATATAGCACTTGACCCGTGAATGTGAATGACATTTAAAAATTTGTAAATACTTTTGTTGGGGCTGATATGCCTCGTTCATATAGATGAACATATTTCAACTGTAGTTTTAAATCTTTGGTATTCTGTGTTTGAGAGACTGCTTTGAGAACAGTAAAATCATGTGAAGGGTACATGAGAAGAGAGGTCATGGTCTGTCAAAGGTGACAGATTACCTCACTGCTGTTGCCCAGCTGTGTGAGACTATGATCATCCACACAAACATTACAGACAGTGGACCAGTAGTGTCCAGGAAATATGCAGTTCTAAAACTGATTGTTGCATGAAAGGAGGAGCCACTTGAACTCTTACAACTTGCTTTTAATGGAAAGTAGTTCCTTTGGAGGCATGATTGTTTTTCCTGCACTCTTGATACAAGCTTTCAGATTTTCATGGTGAGGTAGGTGTCAGGATTGTGGTCTTCTGGGTTTTAAGTGGAGACTGATGTATCAGAAGGATGTGCCGCCTCCATCATCAGGATGTCGAGTCAGCATGTTCCTCCAAATCATCAGTACACACGTCTAGAACTGCAGGGTGTGTCATTGCAGTCTGAACCAGAAAAGCTTTTAACATCTGGTTTTTTTCTACAGGCTCCGCAAGGACCATTTGGCCAATCACAGCAGCTCAGTAACAATCCTAGCACAGTTCTCATATCGTCTACTTCAAATTCATTGATGTCGGCTAGTGTGAAGCCTTCAACACAGCAGATCGGAGCAATTGGGACCAAGGGTGGTGGTCCCTACCAACAGAGTGCTCTACCATCTGCTCCCCAGCCATCCCAGGTTTGTAGGAACATTTCTTGCACCATCCTTGCTATAATAATCAGTGTTGCACTGACACACAAGCCCTGTTTTATCAATCACAGTCTCTTCCGCTGCATGTTTCAGCCAGAATTTGCCATCATATGGGAATACAGCAGAACCCCCATTTAACCCTCCTTGATTTAAGGATTTCCCTTATTTGGTGTTCAGCTTCAATAATCTCACTGTTAAATTTTCTCCATGTTAGTTATTCCTCAGTTTAGTGTTCAAATCCACAGGTCCACAAAGAAATCTTAAATAAGGGTTACTATATGCATACAAGGTTAATAGAACAGCAGGACTTTAGAGTTGTAATTTATGTTTATTGTAATATTTAGTTTAAAATAAATCCACAAAATATTGTCACATATGAGCAGTTGACGTGACTAATAATAATGGGTTCTGGATTTGATTATTGGGTTTATCGGCACCTTTTTCAGTTGTAGTCAATTATAACAGCTCACACATTGAACTCCTTCTGAATGACGTCTGTCTGACAAATCTCTGACGAAGAATCTTGGACTGATCTCTACTCCGCTCTCTCTCTCCTTGAATTTACGGATGTACTCCTTTTATAACTGCCATGCAGCCAGGATAGAAGTCACCATGTTGAATAGTTCCTCTGTTCTCTTATGTTGTCACAGAACTGCCTTTGTTAACATTCATTGCTGTGGGAACAAGTATTTACCTAACCGTTTTCTAGCAAAAGTGACTTTGGTTTCTGCTATTATTTCAGCTTTTAGGCAGTGTTTACCTGGCTCCATAGGTTAATGTTTTGAGCAAATTTGTCACCACATTTTTTTTAGCCTTTATTGGTTCTATTAATATTATTATTCCCACTTCATGATTGTCAGTTTTGCCAAAAATATACAGTGGAACAGTAGAGTGGACTCCGATCGAGAAAGTGAAGTTTGTGTGACAGTGTAACATCGTGTATCTCCAAGTTTAAAAACAGGAAACTGGTTAACTTTAAGAGAGGTCACTTTACTGTTGTGAGTTTGGTCAGTAAATGGAACTTTGGCATCAAGCTGAATTAAGTACATTGAAGTCTAAATGCAGTGAAGATAAAATGCAGGAAACAGGAGGATTGACACATTCGCTCCCATGAATGAGCTAGGTCATATACGTTTAAGGTAAAGTTATCCCTGGCTGTAATTAATTAAGCATCACACATAATGACAGATAAGGGAGTGGAGATGTAGCTGCTACATTCCTAACTTTAGCAAAGCAAATTTTCTTTCTGTAAGCTCTTTGAGCAAGTTCCCCCCCCCCCCGCATTGGTTCCTTCGCAGAGTCATCAGATGCAGAAATTTAGATTTGTATATTGATATCATCGTCAGACAATCACCAGAATGGTGCTTCTTGAGGTCCCAGTCCCTGTATTTATATCCCCCAGGAACAGGGTGGCCCAGTTACAACCCTAAGCACCGGGTTTCCTTTTCATTGCCTTCTACAGCTCATGGCAATGGTGGAGGTATTCTAACTGGCCTTCACACATAGAGATGTTAATATTTTAATTTATTTTAATTATGTGTGATATGTTACAGATTCTGTGTTTTTGACATTTCCTGCTGTGCAGCCATTTTCATCACATTCCTTTGCTCACTAGAGACTTGTTATTTTCAGTTATACATTCAGTATGACCCCAGTCAAGTCCTCAATGTGAATCAGAACTACTTGTCAAGTTCGCAGATGGTACAGCGACCAGGGCCTGTACAGAGTAATGTAGTGCCTACAATTACACCATCATCATCATTTTACTCAGGTTCTGCTGGTAAGCCCACATCTTGTGCATTACGTTTGATTTGTCAAGACCTACCTGTTTTATATGTTCATCCATCCACAAACTTCTGCACTTCACATAACGTGCCCTAGGAAAAGTGATCATAATTCATTCACCTAAATACTGGAGTGCATTTTGGCCATCAGTAGCAATTCTTGGGGGAAATGGGTTTAAAGTTATGGAATGGAGTGCAGTTTAAATGTGACTTAGAGCAAAAGACAGTCTGAAATCTCACATTTGCAAGTGACATGAGCCTATGGAAATATGTGGAAACAGTGCAACACAATCCAGGGAGTTAGAAAAGTGCATTATCTCTGGAGATAGAATACAAATATACCTAGCAAGTGAATTGTTATGAATGTTCATTGTCTGTAAATGGCCGGAAAGTACTTCCACTGGTCTGTAGATGTCACCACCCCAGACGGTTTACTACACCATATAGTATAACAGTATCACACAGATGGCAGGAGAAGCACTTGAAGAACAGGCTGGATATCCATTGCCTATACCTTTTTTGTATTTACAGTTATTTTTCACAATAAGAAAAACTGTGTTTTTGATAAAATGTGCTTGCATTGAGTATGGTCTGTACTACGAACGTGTATAAGCATTCCTTTGGATGTGAATGGGTGTAATGACATTTGTAGAAGAACCCAGTGGGTCCACAATGCTAAAAACAAAACGAGAATCGTGAATCTTGACCGTTATAGTTGTGAACGGATTTCGTTTTCAATTTGTGATGGTAGTGGAAAATTTGGTTTTTCCATGTTTATGTTGCCATTCAGTGTGTCCAGAATTTAAAATTCTAATCAGTGAAACTGGTTTATTTGTTATAATTTATTTATTTAAAGATGTATGAAATTCTGAGACTACCTCAGGAATATTTGTGCCATATATGAGATGAAATTTTCATGTGTTCTGAGTGTTTTATATGCTGCTGTCTTGCAAACCCAAAAATTGTGTTGCTGCTAAATGACATACATATGCAGATAGAATTTTCTGATTTTCATATTTAATTTTACAAATCGCAATTGCCAACATTACCTGTAAAAGACTGACAGAGTGTTTGTAATTTCAATATTCATCTTTTCTGTGATTAAAAGATTTTGGATTAGCACTTTATAACTTGGTCAAGCTTTCTGAAGCATTGTGGTTTTCTGGGTTACAACTCCATGTGGCCTTCCTGGTGGTGGGTTGTCAGCATTTCAGAGGAGCCAAGTTCATCTGTATTTTCAAGATTGGTGGAGTTCTACCTTTCAGACTACACAGTGTTACAGTCCAGGAGACCACAGTATGAATCGTCACCACTGTGGAAGGCTTCAGGTCTTGCATAAGATTTCCCTGCGTTGAGAAAAAGTAGCTGAATTTAGTGCCTTATTTCTCATTCACCGTTAACAGTTAGAGAATGTATCTTTGTTTATTTCCTATTTTAGTTGACTGCTCATAATTTATATTGCATTTGCATGTACCAGTATAAAGACGAAAAAAAAATCGATTTGTGTTGCAGCAAACTCATGCCAGAACCCTGTGGTAGTGTCTGATGTCTTGAGGGGTCTAATTCCAGGGGGCCAGACAGGTTTCTACCAGGCCACAAACTCAACATTACAAGCTGTACAGCAGCCAGCAACACCAGGCCAGCAGCTTCACCAGACGGGTTCCCCATATAATCTGCAGGGCTATGGCACCCAGTCAGGTGCTGCCACACCTGTTGGACTCCAGAACTTTGGTTCACAGGTAACAGTGATATGCCTGCCATTGGACCCAGGATTCTCTGGTTCAAACTGCAGCTCAGGTCGATGGATTTTTAAGGGCAATAAAAATCTGTAGCACAGCTGCCTTCAGAAAGGAAGTGCCAGGATAACTTTGCCTTATTTACATAACTATGTAGACTGTATCAAGTTCATAGTATGGGGTATGTTATTAGAAAATGTTAAAATGTAAGTTAATTGTAATAGTACAGTGTACAGCAGTCTGTGAGAAACTAATACTAACTTCAATATTTGTTTTGGGGCGGTTCTTTTTGCACACAGTAAATTCAGTTCATAAATTATCAGTTCTTTGCTACAGATTTGTTTATCTCACCCCACTCAAAAACTCCACACAAACACACACACACACCAAGTCTGAAGCTGTGTGACATCCAATGCACTATGGCTGAGATGGTCAAGTGTAGTACATATGTGCAGTTAATGTTTTCCATAATTTATACCAAACTTTTTTGTGAGAATGTTGAATTAAGAGGATGTAGTTACGACCACATGTGCATGAGACTTTAGCATGTGGATGTCATGTCATGTCGGCAGAGCCCAAATTTTTAAACCTAAACAAGGTAATGTTGTGGTTACAGTGACAGTGGTTGTGAACATCTTCGTATGTTGGATTATGGCATTCTGGGTTATGGTAGTATATCATCTTATATGTGAGTACCAACATTTCCGAGGAACCTAGTGCCTCTGTCTTCAAGGTAGAAGATATGGAAAGAAAGCACATAACTCCAACATATCAGCAACCACCCTCAAAATAACATGGTAGCGTAACGCAGAAAGTCAGAATGAAAATTTTCATTGCCCTGAAAACTTGTAATATCATTTTCATATTTTGCATCTCACTGGCTGTAAAAGTTAAGTGGAACCCATGTTTAATGTCCCTCAGTCTAAGAATTTCCTTCATTGCATGTTCATTTTCCATGATACAAAGTCTGAGCCGCTCTGCCTCTGCTACCATTTGTACCGTCACTCTCTGGCACCTTTCGGCTCCGTCTACCCTTCCTCAATCGGAGGGGGAAACGTTGATCCGTCATACGGCTCGTGCTGTGCTCGCACGCTCCCTAAGTTAGTGTAAGGGATCCAAGCTAGCAGCGTGGTAAATGTAGTTACAAATGATGGCAATCAATATATTAACAAATAACAGAATTTAATAAACACAATGGAAATTAAATAGAACAACTGAACTAACTGCACATTTACACGCTCGCACACAGCGGCATCTAACTCGGGCAGAATGGCACATATTTACTGGCGCAACAATTTGCCTTGGTTGCATGACAACATAACTACTACATTATAGCCGGGCCACAGGCTGAGTCTAAACTAAATACACAATATAAATTATAAACACAGGTTTATACTGGTACGGGTCGCCGCCGTCCTACAAACCCAACGACGGGTGACCGCGGGCGATCTCGTCGGCCGCGAACCAGCCCAGTACTTGCTGAAACCAAATTTGGACTCCCAGCTGAACAGGAATTTGACAGTCGCTCCGGCTGGCTCGGCGCCGCGAGCAAGGCCCTATGGATCCATAACCAGAACTGAACTCCGAACTCGAATTAACTTCCAAGCAAGGCTCCCAGGGGTAGAAAGGAGGGGAGAGGGCAATACCACATGACCCAGTCCCGCATGGGGATGGGGTGGCGGATAAGTTTAAGAACCTCGATCAAGGGGCTGGAAGCCCATGACGTCATACCGGAGCCACTGCATGGCTCAAGTCAGTGATCTCAGTGTTAAGGTCACTGCAGTTAAGGTTTTCCTGAGTTTAGTGCTCAGATGGGGTCACGTGGTAGTGTAGTTGGTTGAGGCAGTATGCTACAAACTGGAAGATTGTGGGTTCGAGTCCTTATGAGGTGGATTTTTCAATTTACCTAATCCTTGGAAGCAGCACTATGGCCCTGGGATCGACTCAGACTGTAACAGAAATGAGTACCGGGAATCTTCCTGGGGGGTAAAGGGCAGCTGGCACGTAAGGCCAACAACCATACTGCCATCTGTGAGTCAATTTTGTACAGAAAATGTGGGAGCCTCGACATCTCGCAACCCTATGGGCCTTCACAGCCTGTTACAGGGATAGCTTTACCTTAGTGTTCTGATACAGTGGGCTCCAAAGAAACTTGAAGGTGTTACTATACGAAGGGGGACCCAGAAATAACAGGAAACGACCTGTTGCGCGCGCATGCTTTGTAGTTACGAGTTGTGTTGCTAGGTGGTGTTAGCTGGGGGTCTCCCGCGACTGTTAGTGAGCTGGCATCAGTCTGAGTTAAGTGGTTTGTCTGTGGTGCTCTGTTGTGTGCGTTCCTGTTTCAACCCTTTGGCGATTAGTGAGATGGCCGACCAGAAGGAACAAAGAGTGTGCGTGAAATTTTGCTTTCTGTTAGGGAAAACTGCACTTCACTCTTCAAGTCGCGGCAAACATTCACGCGGTTTTCTCTTTGGTCATCTCCGAGCAAGTGAGGAACAAATTTTGCAGACACCCGTCTCATGTGCAAACCTTCGGTTAAAATTCACTGGACCGTGCTCCACGAGATGTTCCGTTTCCTCAGAAAGTTGGTCAGTGGTCTTTCGACGATCCTCATCAATTGCACGTTTGATTTTGGCAATGTTTTCGTCATTTCTTCCTGTCGAAGGACGCCCGGGGCGTGGCATGTCTTCTGTTGCCATGTTGCCAGATTTGAAACGGGAAAACCACTCGTAGACCTGTGATTTCCCCAAAGCATCATCATTAAAGGCTTTGCCGAAGCATCCCAACAGTCTCGGCTGCAGTTTTTCCTAACAGAAAGCAAAATTTCACGCACACTCTTTGTTCCTTCTGGTCGGCCATCTCACTAATCGCCAAAGGGTTGAAACAGGAACGCACACAACAGAGCACCACAGACAAACCACTTAACTCAGACTGACACCAGCTCACTAACAGTCACGGGAGACCCCCAGCTAACACCACCTAGCAGCACAACTCGTAACTACAAAGCATGCGCGCGCAACAGGTTGTTTCCGGTTATTTTTGGGTCCCCCCTCGTATGTACTGAAATACCATTTAAATGTGAATATAAGGAAATGCCCTATTTTTCCAACAGGAAAACCAGACAGAAAGTCTTTTTTTTTATGCAAAAAAATAAAATGTATACTATTAAAATGTTGGACCTGGGATATCGCAGTTGGTATAGCAACTAGCTACATACTGGATAGCGGTTTGGAGTTTGAGTCCCATAAGGGCAAGAATTTTCTCTTCTCCACAGTGTCCAGACCCAGGGCCCACCAAGCCTTGTAACCAGAGGATACTGGGGGTTCTTTCCCCATGGGTTAAATCAGCCGTGGTGTGAATACGACCACTTACCTCCAACTATACAGGGTGATCCACGAAGTTTTACGCCTGCTTATGGTACATATTCCTGGGGTTATTTCCTGCAAAATTTCCTTATAATCTTTTGGTTGATTTTCAATAGTTACGGAGTAACAATAGATTTTCGAAACACATCAATGTGAATGCAGCTGTATGCTTCCCCCCTGGGCGACCTTGCGTTCCAGTGAGCTGTGTCAGCAGATAAGCTGACCGGCTGGAATGTTGCACTATCCTAGGCAAAGCAATCCAGTAGTGAACAGGACGTTGTGTTGGTGACTTTGTGAAGATAAGATGCAGTACACATTTTCCACTGACGAATACGCTGATATGGTGTTTGTTTTGGGTGTATGTGATGGAAATGCAAGAGTCGCTGCTGCCGATTATCACCGGTGTTATCCTATTCGCAGGATTCCAAATCCTAAATCCATTAGCAGTACATTCAGCACATTAAGACAGACTGGTTCTCTCTCCAGCGTTCGTATACAATACGAACGAAATCCTCAACATGGATTGTGCGAAGAAGAAACCATTCTCGATGCTGTAGAGCGCATTCCTCGTGCCAGTACAAGACGTCTAGCTCGGCGGTTTGGTGTTTCTCAGTCCATGGTGTGGAGGACTCTTCATGAGAACGGGCTGCATCCTTATCATTTACAACAAATACAACACCTACAACCAGGAGACCGTGCTCTTCGTCTGCAGTTCTGCAACTGGTTAAATGGAAATCGGCAGTTGTACCGCTTGATAATGTTCTGTGATGAGGCACAATTTACACGTGACGGGGTGAACAACAGTCACAATTTAATGTTTGGGCAGACAATAGTCCCCATGCCATGATAGAATCGAATTTTCAACACCGATTCAGTGTCAGTGTCTGGTGTGGCGTTCTGTATGATCAGTTAATCGGGCCGTTCATTTTATTGCATTTGGGGCTGGATGAAGGACATTGTGTACCAGGTAAAGGTACAAACACATGAAGCGTTGCCTGGACGTATACTGAACGCGGCGATGACAATAAGGAAAAAACGTGTGGAACTGCGAAATGCTACGAGCGCGGTTCATACGCTTGCGACATGTTGTGTTGACGTACAGGGAAAAATTTTTATAAATCTTATGTAAATCCAGTCGTCTTCTAAAGCACTACAGTTTGAAGGAAACAGATATATAGAAGGGTGTGATATGCAACCATTGGTATGTTTACAGAATGGGATGCTGAAAATAATGTAATTTTGTAACATAAAATCGATAAAAAATGTTGCACAAAGCAAAATTAAGAAATTGAAAAAAAAAATGGGTTTTAGAATGCTTCTTTCCTAAAACATTAACGATTTAAAAAGTGTTTGTATTGTATTTCTAATTTGTTTTGACTGAAATTCGAAAAGAAAAAGACTTTTCGCCAGTTTTCAAATTGCTGTATCTCTTAAATTATGAGGTGGATACCATTAGTATATCAACATTTTTTGTTCCAAATTACCTCAGGAATGCCCTCCCTAAGTGGGGGTAAAACTTCATGGATCATCCTGTATACATCCATTCCTCCATACACCTTCATGGTGTAGTGCTTAATTAGTTAAGCACAGGGTCAACTTTACCTTTATCTTTTTTTTTAGCATACTATTAAGAAATAGTAAATCATTCTTCATGTTTAATCTCAAAAATTAGGCAACCCCTCTTTTCTAGGATGTAGTGCTTGAAAGACGCCCTGCATTATGTGAGGAAGTCATGAAATTTTAATTAACACCCATAAGAAACAGACACACAGGTGCAAGAAACTGTATGAGAGTTAGTCCTTCTCTACATACGCCCCCTGCAAGGCCACACATTTTCCCCAACAGTGAATTAGCTGCTGGATACCTCCATCATAGAAGGTCTCATTTTGACTGTTTAGGAAATCCTCCACTGCAGAAATGACATCATCTTGGAATCTCTTACCAATTGGCTTCTTTAGCCATGGAAAGGGGAAGTCACTTGGTGCCAGGTCTGGTGAATATGATGCACGGGGGAGAATTCCATATCCCAAACTGGCAGCAAGTGTCATCAAGGCATGAGCCGGTGCATTGTATTGTCGTGAAGAAGTCACACACCCTTTTCCAGCATTCCATGTCCCTTTTTCTTGATTTCCCCCCATAATTTTGTCAGAAGGTTCCGGTAGTACTCGCCAGTGATGGTGATGCCCTTTTGCGCATAGTTGGTCATGATGACACCCCGCCGATCCCAGAACACACTCAACATCACCTTTCCCGATGACAGCTGGGATTTGGCCTTCTTTGATGGCAGCAAGTCTGCATGTTTCCACTGCTTGCTCATATCCTTTGTCACAATGATAGACCGAACATTCATCCATCGTGATCAGGCGGTCAAAAAATTCCACCTTTTTGTCTTGATACAACTGCAAAAGTTTGTTTGCCACATCCATCCATTGCTGATTTTGTTGCAAACCGACCCATGGCTAATGCTTCGATAGTTATGTGCGTATCGGATAGGATCAAAGCTTCCACCTGTGCCACAATTCCTGGTTCATCAGCAAGAGATGGTCTTCCACTTGGGGTTCATCTTCAAGGTTTGTCTGTACACAATGAAATAGCTCTTGCACGTGACCACTGTCATGTGATGGTACATCTTCCTGATATAGAGCAGTCATCTGGTTGTGGATCTCCCTGGCAGATTTCCCTTGCAGATGTAGGAACAATATCACAGTGCAAACCTCCACTTTCTCAAGTGACGTTGCCATTTTGCTTCTGCCCCTTCCAGTGGCTCCTTCTGTCCACTTGGTGCAGGAAAATTTGACTGTTTGGCAAGCTGAGGAAATGGGCTATCTCCAATATAGAATGATATTTTGGTATTATGAACTTCTCATGGTGATAATTAAAACATTATGACTTCCCATCGTATATTCGGGCTAACACAGTGTATCAGTTCTGGCAATGTAATATTGAAGAAGTAATGTTCTCTGACTGTATTATACATTTTATTAGCCGTTGTGTTTGTATTATAGATAACCATAGTATCAGGAACCTTCATAGTTAGGGGTTACGCTTTTTCTTGTAATGTAGGTGATTGGTCCATGATGAAAGCATTTTGATTGATTGTCATTAATGAATGTTTATCGGAAAAGTAAGGTTGATTCTGGTTTGCTCTCTGTCCTATAGATGGCACAGCAGTACCGTAATACTGGACTTCCTGGTCCAACATTCCTGAAATCGGGTGGCCAGCATCCTACAGATCTTAATGCCACTTCCAATGGTCGGACACAGCTGAAGTCACCCTCCGGCAATCAGCAAGACGTTTTAGCATCAGTATTCTCTTCAGGTATGAATGAATGAATGAATGAATGTATGAGGGGTAGGCTTTCTCGGCCCTTGCACCGCGACCTCAGTGGTCTATTGTGCTTCCCCTTTTTTAATTATTCCCTCTTCTCTTCAGGTAAATTGTTTATGCAAATTATTCAGTTTGTCACAATATATATAGTGTGATGTATTGCGCTATGGAGAACTTCCTCTCCCCCGCCAGCGGTGACGTAACATTGTCAGGCACTGTCGCTACTACGGTAACGGGCCAGTCAACACTCCACCCCCCTCCCCCGCTGTGACGTAACGGGGATGCCGCGGTTATCATGCAGCAGTAAACAACTCTCGACAGCGTTGCCCAGCAACACCTGTAAACACTGCAACTAGGCAACAAGGAAGTGAGGCGTTTTTCTGTTGTCTGGCTGAGGGTTTATAAGAGAACCACGCTGCCTAAGGTGCCCCAAATGAACAGGACAGTAACTTTCATATAAGAAAAAAGAAAAAATATCTGGTTATGAGCCCCGGGGCTCGTCACCAAGACAGACAGACTGACGGACCGTCAGTCGCAATATAACTTGGACTTGGACTAAGGAGTCAGTTAACCCTTTGACGTGGTCATTTAAATTCCGCGGCCGCGGCTCCTGCGGTAATATATTCAGCCAGCCATTTAAATTTTGCTCGAAAATTATTTATTCATCATTGTTCTTAAATTCTATGAGATAGGAACATGAAACTTTCACTAAAATGATCTTAAAAGGTGGTTTTATAACCTTACCTTATAATATGAACCCCCTTTATATCTTCAATGGAAGCAGGTTGTTTAGTATTTGAGCAGTGAATGGTACGCTTTGAAGGATGAAACTTTCACTAAAATGATCTTAAAAGATGGTTTTATAACCTTGCCTTATAATATGAGCACCCGGTATCTCGGCTATGTAAGCAGGTGACGCCTTGAAGCATTAGTCTAAACACAGCGCTGGCTCA